GCCCCGGCCTCCCAGCCCTGCCCTGCCCCCCCAGCACTGCCCTGCGCCAGAACCGCCCCCACGGCCGCTCGCGGGGAGAACCCCTGCCCTGCGCCAGAACCGCCCCCACGGCCGCTCGCGGGGAGAACCCCTGCCCTGGGCTCCCAGCGCTGCCCTGCACCCCCAGCACTGCCCTGCGCCAGAACCGCCCTCACGGCCGCTCGCGGGGAGAACCCCTGCCCTGGGCTCCCAGCGCTGCCCTGCACCCCCAGCACTGCCCTGCGCCAGAACCGCCCTCACGGCCGCTCGCGGGGAGAACCCCTGCCCTGGGCTCTCAGGGCTGCGCCGAGGCAGCCAAGAAGCGGGAAGGCGCCCAGGTCAGTGGCAGAGCGAAGATGTGGCTGGTGGGAGAGCCGGGATTGCTCTACAACCCCTTCAGCACAGAGCCAGAGGCATCCTGGCAACCTGCTAGGTCCACGCATTCCCTGTGGCACCACGTGTCTGGCTGACCCTTGCCGGAGGGGCTGCCCGGTGAGGTTTTCTCGGCACCGGGTAACTGGCTCTTCCTAAAGCCCCGCTGCCGTGTATTGCCAATGGCACTCTCCAATCCCGACAGCCGAGATCAGTGACTGGGGCGCCACTCTGGCCCATGCTGTCCACAGCCAGAGAGCCAGACTCCAGCCGCCGAGTACTTATGGCTGGGACCGACGCCAGCTCTGGGGAGCCCGGCTGGGCTGGCAGTGCCGCGGGGCTGACACAGGGCAAGCGGTTATAAAGTCAAACTCATTCTGGCAACCCAGAGAGGTGCCCGCTGCAGGACAGCTCAACGCTAGCACTACGGTCACTAGTCTGGAAACAAGCTACATTTATAAACAAAGGACCCTCCATTACAACCAGGAAACCAAGCGGCCTGCAGAGTGTAAGGGAGGGCAGGACTTAGCCTGGTAATCTAAAGGCGGACACGCTGGGGTAGCTCTTTTAAACCCTCAGATCCGTTTGCTCACTCCTATCTATCAAGGGCCTCCTGATCCAGCTTCCATGGAAGTCTAAGCGAGCCCCCCATGGGAGCTGTATGGGGCTTTTAACCAATGCAACGGATTCCTGCACTTCTCTAGCAAACCTGCAACAACCAAGCCAATGATGCTAGTGACCCTGTGAAACCGGATGGAGACTAAGGCTCGACAGCCATTCCGATCAGCTGAGCTACACGCTCCCACTCCTGTCGCCTTGGTACAGCAGTGCTGGGAAGGCAGACCACAGGGCGCCGGACATGGAACAGGCCAGGACTCACAAGCTTGAGAGAGTAGCTTTGCTTTTGAGGGCAGGCTCCAGACGCTGACTGTGCTGTGGAAGGATGGAACAAACGAGGTTACAGGTAGTAGTGCAGGAGCAGCTTGTTTCTCGGCTACCCTCTGCCCCCCTCACCTCGGGATGGTGACAATACCGCCCAGGGAGGCCTCTGCACACGGCTGCAGGACAATTCCCACCTTGCGTCAGAGTTACAGGACTCTGCTCACTCTCTCCGGGCACTGCTGCGACAGCAAACCCGGGAGCTCCTCGGCGCGACCGAAGCGTCAAGGGACTCGGCTCCTTACACGTGGGATGTAAATTAAATGGGGCACGTGCCAGGGACCTCCGACAACATCCAGCTGGAGAAAAGGGTACGATCCCAAGCCAGCGACAGCTGCGGGGGGCGTGTGTTGAGACTGGAGATGGAGCAGCGGCTTTGAACCCTGCAGCGCTCTCCCGTGCCCGTAAGCGGAGTCCGAGTGAGCTGTGGCACCCCCGAAGCTCGGAACCCACTGTTCCCCCTGCTGCGGGAGGTGGGGGAAGACGGAGGGTAACACTAACAGCCAAACCCTGCGGGGTTAAACGCCTCCTCCACCCACACACAGGGTGGGCAGAATGTTGGGCGCGCTCCCAGCAGGGCACCTCTTTGGCAGTCCTGCTGCAGGCAGGGCAGAGGATGCTGAGAGTACCAGGGCGCTGCCCATCCAGGAGGCTGCTGAGCTGAAGGGGTGAGAGGAGGCAGGATCAGGGTGGGGAAGGGCAGCTCTGTCCCTTGTTTGCCTAAGCTGCAGATTCACCTGACTGCAAACTGCGAAGTGTCAGCAAGAGGCTTCCATTCCAATCTCTTCCAGGAATCAGCCCCCTCCACCTCCCCGGCAGGCTGAGCTTCCAGCATGCCCCAACAAGAGGCAAAGGGAGGAAGACGCTTCTACTCCCCCCCGTTCCCTGAGCGCAGCCCAGCCTGCGTTGGCACAGCACCTTCGTACATCAGCCCGCACGTGCTCTGGTGCAGAAGTGTCCCCAGTCTCCACTGCTTGCTGCTCTGGTCGGTCAGGATCGTGCCCTCTGGGAGAGGCACCACGGAGATGGACTTGAGGCGCCGGGGACTGAGCTTGGCTTTGGAGAGGAGACAAAAGCAAGGCTCTGAGCAGGGCAAGGCACCAGAGGCAGAGTGCAGCTGCTCTCCAGCGCAGCGCAGGCTCCAGCCCGGAACCCCAGCCTGACAGCTCCCATCTCGTTGCCCTGCTCCCCCGGTGAGGCCCTGCGATTCAGGGACTCTCCTTCCAGCAGCGGCCAGCCAAATAGCTCTGCTAGCCCAGACCGCGCTGCAGCTCGGCCAGGAGGGGCCAGGAAGGAACCGGTTGGCAAGATGACTGAACAAGCCACCTCCGCAGCGCTCCAGTGCTTCCCTGAGCACCCTGAAGTATCTATCTGCCCCCAACCCCACGAGCACAGCAGTGCTGAAACCCCCAGCTCTCACCCTTGGATGCCACCGTGATCCTCGGGGGAGCAGCCTGTGGGCTGCAAGCCTCCGCCTTGGCCGAGGTGGAAGCTGGTTCTCTCTCAGGAAATGGCCAGGCCTCTGGTTTTCTCGCTGCCGGAGACGTCTCATCCTGCTTCGAGGCTGCACGATTGAAGAAACAAACTCTCCCAACGCTGTCCACGTTACTGCAGAATTGTCAGTCGCAACACACCCCCAACACCTTCCATCCACGGGGCTCAAAGCCCTTTTCGGTGAAATTCTCACTCTCGCACCCTTCCCCCACACGGAACAGGTCAGTGCTCTTAGCCCCATTTCACAGATGGAGAAACTGAGGCACTTAGTGAGAAAGTCACATAGCAATCCCGAGGCAAAGCTGGTTCAGAAACTAGGAATCCTGGGACAGATTGCATTCACTCCCCTCTCTACCACACTGCTGTCAAAGGCAACAATGTGCACACCCTAAGGCCGGCAGGAGGACCCATGCAGACAAACTGGTCCTTGGCATGCCAGTGCTCCACAGCTGCTTGTCACCAGGGAGCTTGGGCTAATCTGGACCCTATCCAAAGAGGCTGCTGTCGAGCCCAGTCCTACTTACCCTTCAGAGCTTCAAGAGAGGCATCTGGGGTGAGTTGCATCGGCTCCTCCTCATCTTCCTTCGGCAGCCTGCTCCCGCACACCGGGCAGAAATGAAATGCCGTCTCTACCTTCTGGCCACACTGCGGGCAAAAGTTGACCATTCTGCAACCAAAGCAGGGCGGGGAGGGAAAGGTGTCAGAGCTGGGGCAAGAAGCCAACTCTGCATCGGTTTCTCTGGAGCAAGGGGTTTGCTAAGGAGACGCCCCTTCACAGCCCCCAGAGCCGACATTAACTCCACTCAGCTGCAAAGATGAAATGATTAAGGGAGGCCAGACAGTGGCGCGGTGGCAGAGAGAGGATGGAAACCCAAAGTCCCCATTCCAGGCACTCGCTGTGGCTGCCAGGGAGTGTCCAAACTAGCACTTGGGAAGCATCTGCCTTTATCAGTGTCGCTATTAACCACTTCAACTGCACCATGAGGCAGGAGTGCTCATGCAGCTGCGTTCCCTAGGGCCTAGCGTGCACCCTGCCTCTCCGTCCTCCTCTAGCCTCCTGGCTGTGCCCAAGTGGTCCGACAGCCTCCCAAACCTAGCAAGTCAGCTGCTCACTGACTCTTCCCTTCCCCATTGCCGGGTGGGAACGCTGGGATGGGGACTGCTGGGAAGTCTGGCAGCTGTGGGGAGTCGGAGGGAGCTCTGGGTTGTGGGCCCAGCCTCCCACCCATCCATCTCCCAGAGCCACCAGCTGCCCAGGCCCTGCCCAGCGCTCTCACGGCCCCAGGCTCCTACCTAGACCTGCAGCCCCAACACCTCCCACAGCTCCCATCACCCTGGGGTGCCCCGTCCCACATCACCCGCAGGGACCGACCTGCCGCCCCCTTTCCCAGGGCACCCCACCTCGGCCCTGCCCCAAACACCAGACTGGCCCCCCCGTCCGCCCGCGCGGCCTCCT